ACTTGTGCAAGAATTTTTTTGCTATTTTCATTGTTGGCTCCAGTATCGCCCAAATATTGTAGTAGGGTTAATGCAAATGGTGTGTTCATTGCTTGTACCCTGCTTTGTGCAGCTGGTACTAAATTGGTAAACCGAGCGCCTGCCACTGATCCTGTCTTGCGCAGCAGTTGCTGCGTTAACAAGATGGCAAAGGCCTGCGTCTGCTCGCTTTGATCACCCAGCATATAGCTATCGGAATTGCTATACCGTTGCTTAGTGTTAGTTTTAGTTTTAGCATTGATTGACAAATCTTTAGATAACCCCATTACCATATTGCTAATGGGCAAACCCATTTGGCGCATCCAATCTAGCATCAATGCGCGCTGCCAAGGCGTCATGTCCTGCGCATTTTTGGCATATACATCCAGTAAGCGCGACCAGTGGTCTTTGGGAATATTCAATGCCAACGCTTGCACTGCTTGCCAATCCGCATAGTAGGCATAGCCAGTAAGAAAGGGGTCAATAGACATATCTTGTCCCCACCAACCAAACTGTGCGTTCTCTCCAGCCATACTGGCTAGGCGCAAGCGTTGGGTGTACATCTGCCGCGAGATATCTTTGCGTCTTGTATCATTTGGCGCTAAGGCGCGGTAGGCCAAGGTCAGTGGTATCAAGCGCGAAGATGTTTGCTCTACACAACCGTAAGGGTATTCTATTAACGAGTCTGAAACGCGGTAAAAATCTGCATCGTTGGCACTTATCACTCGCAGACTGACATTGCTTGCATCAGTGGGTAGGTTCAGCCGAATAACGCCACCATCAGCTGCATCCAACAAACGCGATTGCGCTTGCGTCCAGCCCACAGGTTCTTGCGTTAAATTTACTTGCAAAGCATCCAGTACTTTGTCATCAGACTTGTTGCCACGCTTCATGCTTATATTTAGTGCTCCCAATGCATTTTTATCCAAATTTAGCGTCACAAAGTTAATCCCTGGCTGTAAGCTGGTATTAATCGTATTGTTTTGCGCGCCACTTAGTAGCAAACTCACGTCTTGCTTTTTACTCGTTTGGTTAAAGAGCGCCACACTGGCGTGTACCGTATCGCCCACGCGGCGCCAGGTGGGCGCAGTCCATTTGGCATAAAAATCTTTATCACTACGCACATAGCTGGTACTTTGTCCCACCAACCCTGTATCGTTGATGGCTCTAGCAGTCATGCGCCAGCGGGTAAGCGAGTCCGGCATCGTAAAGCTTAGTGTAGCCATACCCTGAGCGTTGGTGTGAATATTGGGCATCCAGGCAGCGGTATCTACATTGTCACGCCGCGCTCTCTCTTGCTCTTTCAGCGCCCGCTCGTTGACAGCGCGACGCTGGGGCAGTTGTCCCAACTGGTTGCTGGACAAGTCGTAGGCGATAAAGGACAAGCTGGCCTGGGTGCGAACATTGTTGCGTCTTGGATGGTAGAAAAAGTCGTAAATATTGGGCGCTATTTCGGGTTGCAGCACGTAAATCATCTCATCGACCACACCCAGCGCCACATGGGCAGGTACGGGCTTACCGTCAACACTGGTGCGCACGCTCAGGGTCACTTTCTCTCCTGGAGCGTATACCGCTTTATCGGCCTGCACGGCCACTGCTATCTTGGCCTTGGCAACTTTAATGCCCGCATTTTCAAAAACAAACTGCCCGTTTTTCACATACGCGACCGAAAGCGTGATGTTCGGCGCAAAAGCCTCCACCACAGGCAGTTTGATGCGCCACTGATGGGCAGAGAGCTTTTCGCCAACAACCCAAGCCGCGCTAGAGCGTCCGCTCACCGCACTGATGATGGCTGTTTGCTCAACACTGTCGCGCTCCAGACTCAACAGCGCATAATCCACAGGGTCTGAAAAGGTAATTAAGGCACTGGCGGTTTCTCCCAACTGATACTCTGCCTTGTCCCACACCACCTCAGTATGGCCCGGGGTGGTTTTCAGATCAGGCCCGGCTACCCAGTGCTGCGTGGCTCCAAGCAGCTTACCATCTTGATCGCGCAAGTTAATTTGGTAACTGCCTGACTTTTTAAAGTTCAGGTTAAAGCTCTTGCCCTCGCTGATTGTCGCGTGTTCGACACTGCGATCTTCTAAGCGCACCCAGTCCCATTGGAGCGATTTAACAGTATTGCTTTCCACCTCTGGCTTGAACTGAAAAGTCACCGTATCCCCCAGCTGCGTAAAACGCTTGGCCGTAGCAATGGACCAGGAACTGAGCGCACGGTCAATTAAAATCTCTTGCGTGTGACGAACGCGGTAAGCAGCCCCATCGGTAGCCAAAATAGAAACAATGTAACGACTGGCTTCTTTCGCATCAGGTAAGCTTACGCTCAGCTCACCGCTGCCGTCGCTGCTGTACTGCTCTTCTGTGAGTTTGAGTGGAAATTGTCCAGCGTAGGCCAACTCACCTTCCACCACACTCAAGTTTTGCGCCCTTACCGATAGATCGACACTCGCATGTTTGACTGGCTTTCCATCAGGGTAACGCATTTGTACTTTGAGTTTAATTTTCTCACCTATGCGGTAACCACCTGGGTCTTGTTGCACGGCTATTTCAAAGTGCGGTTTTTGGTATTCCGCCACACGAAAAGCCGCCGCGTAGGCTTGCCCTTGGTATTGCAACTGAATTTCGTAGCCTCCCATCGGGGCGCTTTTGGGAAGGCGGAAGCTGGTATTACCCCCTTCGGTTTTATTAAAGCTCAGGGTCTGCTGGGCCACAGGCTGGCCATTAGGGTCGGCGACCGATAATTTGATCACGGCATCTTCGGCAAGGCTCGAAGTGCGCGCATCCAAAAATTCCCGAGCCAGCACTTTGACATTGACGGTGTCATCTGGGCGATAGAGGGGCCGATCGGTCGTTGCATACACTTTGGTGTTGTATATCTCGCTGTCGTAGTAATAATTTTCAGAGACAAATACCCCTCCCTGTTTATCTACTCCATAGACATAGGTTTGCTCAGGTGCCGCATGACTCAAGCTCAGAAGGCCTTCGCCATCCGTGCTGCCGCTGCCCAAGGCACCGATACCATCGGTCCAGACGACGTGAACCCCCTCAACCGGCGCACCGTTATCCCGTCGTACGGTCCAAGTCAGCAATTTTTGATTGGCCATTTTCGTCACCGCCACACTATCACTGACAAATACCATCGTTACCGCGCGCTCAGCGCCGAGCATGGCCTCGACTACGTAGAGACCAGGGGCGAGCTTACCCAAAGGAATGTAAACATTGCCATTGCTCAAACGTGGGGAATCATCATTTTTATCAATCCCTTGCGGTTCTGCTGTAGGATTTACACTTTCATCGTCAGAAATGCCTCCTTCAAGGTTGGCCCCTTCCAGTAGCACTTTGGGTGGTTTAATGTCTTTGGCAAATTGCACCGGATAACGGTAACGGCTGATCATATTCAGACCTGTAATCGGTTTGTACTGTGGTGCTGGAGCACGCACAGTGCGCTCATACAAACCATTCCCAGCGGCCAGTTGTGCGCTGGTTTTTACCGCAGCCTTGCGCGTATTGGCCGAGAATATGCCCCGCCATAAGCTACGCGCTTGCGCAGCCACGCTGTCCCACAATTGCATAAAAATAGACCACAACCCTTTATCGTCTGCTCTGGCATTGACCGTGATGCGATGCAAATTCTTTTGTTTTTGTAAAAACTCCAACGGCTCAGGCACACGGTAGAGCGCAATATCTACGCCACCATAATTGGCCACGGCCGAAACGTCTTGCGCCTCCACCCGCACACGGGCAATTTGTTGGCTGCTAAAAGTTTCGTCGGACAAGATAAAGAAACCGGCATTACTACTGGGAGTCTGTGCTGCCACATCGCTCGGGTCATCCTGGGCGAGAGTGGGT